CAAAAACGGAATTGTTATGAAATAAGAAAATCATCCGTAATTAACAGGCAAAATCAAAAGAAGCAGGTGCTTTGAGGATACAGGAACAGTGAAGTTCTTGAGCCAGCTCCTTTAAGTTATCATTGCTATTTCTATGGTTATTATTATTATTGTTATTGTAAATATCATTATTTGTAACCAATTAATTATTGGTTGCATGTTTTTCGTAGTGAGGTACTTCGATTTCCTTAGACAGCTTATGTTTAGGTTGATGACGGAACATCCTGAAGACACAGCGGAAAGTAACACAAAACACAACGAGGTTAATGACGGACAGTGCACATGCGGCATAGGAAAGATACTCTGCCAGTGACGTTTCGCTGATACTCTGTATTGTGCTGATCATGTCATTAACTCTATCTAAGGACCCGCTTAGTTGACTGTCGAATCTCTCAAATAACTTGTCAAAGTGGTCAATTATGGTGCGGTTGATGACTGTAGAAGACGAGATTGACAAGGATCCCCCGCGTAACATCAAAGGAGAGATATCGTACCATGCTACTTGGTGAGCGGCCCATGCCAGAATGAGGCAAGAGATAGGTGGAGAAATTATTTGGATAATCGCAGCTGGTTCCTCTCGAAGACTAATGGCGTACAACTTAATTATAAATTGTGGAGTGGATTCAAGGACTGCCTCAAAGAGCACAGCAAACTCAATGTGAGTGAATACATCTTCAGCTTTTTCATAGCTGACCCGGTCGACTTCACCTTAATTTAAACAACAATTTCTTGAGAAAGAAAAAAAAACTTCGAGTCTTGTAAAGGTTACTGAAAATGGACGTAATGCACAAAAAGCAGTTTTCATCGCCAAATTAGAAGGTGAAGCAATTAATTGGGTACGCAACCGGACGAACAATACTTGAAACACAAAACATGGCAATAAAACAAAAGTAAGCCCCACATCAAACCATGTTTTGTGATCCGCGCGGTAGAATTCTACCAGTGTGAGTATGTCGGTGATGTGATCAGTAAAACTTAAAATAACTCCAACAAAGAACACAAAGAGACTGTACCACTTAAGTTCTTTCACTAACATCTCGACGGACCTTTCGTTAGCTCGCTTAGTAAGTCAGCTTCGACTGAAAAACTGCAAAGTTTCCTTTGGCTAATTTGATCTCACTCTTAAGGTCACGGAAGGAGGTGTGCTGCACGTCTGTATTAATTTTAGAAGAAAGTAAATGATTGCCGGATGTTCTTTGTGACGCAGTCTTGGAGAGACATGCATAGGCATGCGTCGAGAGATGGATGAAATGTGCCGCATCAATCAGAATCTTAAATTCTTAAACCAATAAGCTTCTTTTATGTAGTAAACCTAGAAATGGACAACTCGGGTTCTTTCAACGTAGTAAGCGGTCAGACAACAAGTAATGCACTATGGAAGTAAGATAAGGTTTTTTTATCGCGAATTTGATTTTATTCCTAAGAGCGGTGGTAAATATTCCCACAAAACCTCCTATAATTACGCCATGAATCATTTCGCAAGATAATCATCTCACAGCTGGAGCTTGGGCCACCTGTGATTGTTTGTATTTTGACTCGTAAAATACCCAGCGATACTACACACCAAAACATCTATTAAGATTTATTTATTTATGGGCAGTTAATAACTTTCTTAGCTAGAATAACTATGCTTTCGTTATTATTCTCAACGATACGGTTTGATAACCTTTAGTTATTACCATTTGCAGATCAGTGAAACAAGATAATCTCGTTATATTACCAATAATCAAGAAGCGTCCACTTTCTTTAAGAAATATATAACTTTATTCTAATTCTTGATTTTACAAAACTAGCCTTCTACACAGCATTATCATATACTGTGTGAAGTTACACACTTTGAAGTGTCGGTTAAATGCAAATCAACTTCTGCCGTACAATGAGAGAGGGAAAAATCTAAATCATAACAAGATAAAATCTTAATTCATAAACTATTATTCTTAGAAAGGGGTGTTAGACTAAGTTGTCTTTAAAATGTGTACTAAAGTGCAGTCAATAACATTCTTAAAACAACTGCAGTTTCGTAAAGGTTCGGATGAATAACTTTGGGTTATCATATTTGTATTTTTACCCGCGAAAACTTCTCTAGGAACGCAACTTTCAAAGGCCATAACTTGGAGTCTTTCGGTTTTCTTGGTCTAAATTTTTTAATTAAATGCAAGTATATTGGGTTGCAATAACGAGCAATCTAACGGTTTTACCAAAGGCACCAAGGACTCTCGATTCTGAGCGAGCATGCTTGTCAACTGACCTTGGAAGATTTAACATTTGTTGTGAGAACACTAATCTAAGCTCTTTCATATTAGCCTCTTACAAAATAAAAAACAACGCACTAAAAACATAACGCATAATCTTCTACAAAAGAATCAGTCTTTGACCGTGTAAGCCAAAATAGGAGCATTTTGCTATGAAGTTGCTGAAGTCTGTTGTATCTTTAAGATATGACCTCTGTTGTTGTGCGATTAGCTAAAAAATGTCATCTATGTAACAAGATAGCTATTCTGTTGGTCCTTCCTTAGGTGGTGATTTTGTCTCACTTATAACACATCGAGGAAGTTTTTTAGCCGGCTAAATATGCCTGCAACTTTCGTGAGGGTCATGACCAGGGCCAGTTGCCCAACTACGCACGTTTAGTGATGGAGGTTAAACAAGATAGTCACAATTTCGAAACTCATATTGATAGCTTAAACCTAACTTCCGACTTCAAATTTAATTAATAGCTACAGACAAAATATAGGCGAATGACTCGATTATACTGAACTAACATAATACTTCACACCACATATATTCACATCACGTTGCTGTTGAGGCTGCTCAACCGCCAACAGGTCTCTTCCTAAGCCAACGAAGTAAGTAAATTCTCATTGTGGAGCCAACAGCACTGAACACACAAACACACACCGTGACTGGTAAAAAGTACCAAGCGTTGAGGTGATAATTGAAATAAAACAATAGGATCATAAAGAAGTTTTCTAATACAAACAAAATATGTGAGAAATACACGCTCATAGTTAGACCAATTGCATTTTTACCAATCGAAAATTCCACAAAGTCATCTCTTAAACAGTTAATGCCCATAAACAACGGAATCAAGACACCAGAAGTTTGACATTCAACTTCGTCTCTATACTGAATAAAAGTCGCTATTACTACCGCACTCCAATGAAACGTCAACACGCAAATAACCCACCACTTGTAGCTGACAGTGAAAAAACAGATAGCGGACAGTCGACTGCTCAGGAGAAGTAAATGAGTCACATACAATGCTAGTTGGTGTTTAACATTCAGGTCATCGCAACTTGATGTTATTATTATGTGCTCGTCAAGAGACCACTTATCAGTGGCTGTGAAGGCCCATGCCAGAGTGAGGAAAGAAATAGGTAAAGAAATGATTTGGATCATTGCAGCTGGTTCCTCTTGAACAGTGATGGCGTACAACTGAATTATAGATTGTGGGGCGGACTCAAGGACTGCCTCAAAGAGCACAGCAAACCTAATGTGAGTGAATACATCTTCAGCTTGTTCAGAGCTGTCCAGGTCGATATTATCTCCAGACCAGCATTTCTTGAGACAGAAAATAAAAGCCTCTAGTCTCACGAAGGCTGCTGAAAATGGATGCATTGCACAAAGAGCAGTTTTTGCCCAACTAGAAGGTGAAGCAGTTGATTGGGCACGAAACAGGATGAACAATACTGGAAACGCAAAACATGGCAATACAACAAAAGTAAGTCCCACACCAAACCATGTCTTGTGATCCGAGCGGTAGAATTCCACCACTGTGAGTATGTCGGTGATGGGATCAGCAAAACTTAAAATAGCTCCACCAAAGAACACGAAAGGACTGTACCACACAAGATCTTCCACTTCCATATCGACAGACTTTACATTTGGTCGCGTAGTAAGTCGGCTTGTATTGACACAGGCTCAGTTAATGAAATAGATTTCTGCACTGTTCGTAATCAGAGGCTTTTGCGCTCAGCTTCGACTGAAAAACTGCAAAGTTTCCTTCGGCTAGTCTGACTTCCACGTCTGTACTAATTTAGAACTAATTGGTTCTCCGAATATTCTTTGTGACGCAATCTTGCACAGCTGAAGTGTTCAATAGAAAAATTCAAATTTCTGCGTCTCAAAAATTTCAATGATACAATAGTGTCTTAGTTGTCGTGTTTTTTGGAAGAAAACTAGATGCAGAGCCTACCTCGCCTAAGAAAAGGCATCAAGGACCCTCGACTTGTCCTCTTACGGTCTTCTTAATCTTTTTTCTCTAATACAATTCTAGTTACAGGAAAATCACTCTGTAACCACTCTGACTCTTACTGGTTTATTGAATGCGAGCGACTGTTACTTAATGTCTGAGTAACTCTGGTCGACTGACTGATGACGAACCCTGCAATACACGCTCTGAAATTCACTACCGGTTCGCATGAGTCGTAATACGAGATAAGGAAAAGATCTACACCATGAATTAAAATCATAAATTCATGAGCGAATTTTCTAAGAAAATTTCTGACTAAGTTGTTTTTAAAATGAGTTATTCAAGTGTAGTAAACAACATTCTTAAGATAACTGTGGTTTCGTTATTATTCTTAACCATTCAGATTAGTCAACTTTAGTTATTCCCGTTTACAGATCAATGAAACAAGATAACTTGGTTACATTTTCAATGCTCAAGACATGTCCAGTTTGTTTTAGATATAAATACCTTTGTTCTTATTCTTGATTTTGCAAAACTAAACTTGCACACAGCTTTAATTCAGTGTCAAATATTGCGTGAAGTTACTCACCTTGAAGTGTCGGTTAAATGCAAATCAACTTCTGTCGTACAATGAGAGAGGGAAAAAACACGTCAAAATCTTAATTCATACATCAATATTCGTAGAAAAGAGTGTTAGACTAGGTCGTCTTCAAGTGCAGTCAATAACATTCTTAAAATAACTGCAGTTTCGTAAAGGTTCGGATAAATAACTTTGGGTTATCGTGCTCGTATTTTTACCCGCGAAAACTGCTCTGAGAAGCAACCTTCAAAGGTCATAACTTAAAACCTCTCGGTTTTCTTGGTCGAAATTTTTGGAATACACGTTCTTTTAAAGATGACATTCATGTTGGGAAAAATAATGGCGATACAAAGAATGTAATTTAGCAGTTGGAACTACTTAAATGCAAATCAACATCTTTGTTAGGAAGAGAGAGTCAAAAATTTTGATCAATATTAGCTAAAATCTTGAAATCATAAATGAATATTCTTAGAAAGTGTCAGACTTCTTAACCGCTCACTCGAAGCAATAATTGAGTTTTCTATTTTGTACATAGTACTCTATTTTATTCGTCCAGTATTGTTGCTTGTTATCAGGTTACGTGTTTATTTCATTCCATCTACAATAAATGTTACAAATGAAGTATCTCTATCTGATGTGTGTTCATCGAAATCCTCGCCGTTTTTGCGTTTATTTTTGATAATAAAAAAGTCTAGATTTAAAAGAATGACTAATTATACCGATTTATAGCTTTAAATCTGGCTTAGCATTCACATCACTCTTGTTCGCGGCTGGTGAACCGGTCAGAGCGGATTTGGACCATTAATTATTGGTTACATGTCAATTAGCCATGAATATCTGGAATGTGGCAATTTTTCACAAATGTTCTTTAACACTACCATCTAGCGTCATTAGACAACTTCTAGTTCTTTTCCATGCCATAAAAATTGGGCTACCTCTGTAGCCACATGCAATCTTAGACTGTATGTTAATTTATCGATTCAGATCAGTAACCTTCAGTTATTCCCATCTACAGAGTTTGGAACGCCATGATCTTGAGACATTCTTAGTTCTCAAAGAATGGATTTGTTTTCTTGTGAAATGTAGATAACTTTTATTCTAATTCTTGCTTTACAAACTATCAACTTGTACACAGCTTTATATGCAAATTAAATACTGCGAAAAACTAGACAGCATGAAGTGCCGCTCTAAATGCAAATCAACATCTTTCTTAGAATGAGAGGGTTACATTCAAGATCAACATCTGTCAAAGTCTTAAATTCATGAACCTAAACTCGTTGAAAGTATCCAACTTCTAAATCACTTACTCCAAGCTAAAATCGAGTATTTTAATAAGTATCTGCAAGCTACTCTATAATATCCATCCATCACTCGCGGCTTGTGGTGTTTACTTCAGTTTCTTCTACATTTCGAGTTAAAAATTCAAAAGATTTATCGCATTTAACAATTTTTGCTAATAAATGAAAATAAGTGGAAACTTTAGTTCTAAATCTTATCATGTGTTACCAAGTCCTCCGCCATGCAAGAATGTTGGGTTGCGATAAAGAAAAATCTAGCTGCAGATCGCGACACCTTTGGGTTTAACCAGGCGAGATCAGGATGAAAATGTTCACTGCAGCGGGATGGCGGAAGGAATGAAAGATAGCGGCGGGATACGGGATTGGAAAAGTCTAATTTGGACCCTCCTCTTTAACTGCGTAAGCCAAAACAAGAATAAACTTTCGTTAGGGTCATGGCCAAGGACAGTAGTCCACCTACGCACGTCTAGTGGTGAAAGTTAAACAAGATAGTCACAACTTCGAAACTCATCTTAAAAGCTTAAACTTAATTTCGGAGGTCAAATTCAAATATAGTACCTACGGACTAAATGTAAACGAATGAATAGATTATACTGAACTCTCATAATACTTAACCTCACGCGTATTCACAACAGCGCTGATCGTGGCTAGTAAATGGCTGGCAGGTTTTTGCTTTGCCAACGAAGTAAACAAATTCTCATTGTGGAGCCGAAAACACTGAACACACAAACACACACAGTGATAGGTAAGGAGTGCTAAGTGTTGGGGTGAAAGAAAAAATGTGAGAAAAACACACTCATCGTTAAACCAATTACTTCTACACCCATCGATAATTCCACAAAGTCATCTCTTAGACAGTGAATGCCCATACGCAATATTGTTAAGGAAACGGTGGAGGTATCACAGTCAACTTTGTCTCTGTTCTGAATAAAAGTCGCTATTACTACCGCACAAGAATGAAACATTAACACCCCAACAACCCACCACTTGTAGCTGACGGTGAAATAACAGATGGCGAACAGTCGACTGGTCAAAAGTTAGTGAGTTCATACAAAGCTAGTTAGTGTTTAACATTCAGGTAACCGCTACTTAGTATTATTTCGTGCACGGCAAGAGACCTCTTATCGGTGGTTGTAAAGGCTCATGCCTGATTGAGGAAAGAGATAGGTAGAGAAATGATTTGCATGATTGCAGCTGGTTCCTCCTGAACACTGATGGCGAACAACTGAATTATAAATTGTGGAGCGGACTCAAGGACTGCCTCAAAGAGCACAGCAAGGTCAAAGTGCATGCATCTTCAGTTTCTTCGGAGCTTACCGGGTCGATTTCATCTGCAGAGCACCATTTCTTGAGACAGAAAATAAAAGCTTCCTTAACTTAATTCGTAACATTAATTCGTGTTCATTAATAGAATATTTAAGGAGGTGTCTTAGAGTGATTAAGTTCTGTGGTAGCAATGGTGGCAGAAAGTTGTCAAGTTGTCTAAATGATGGAGAAGAAAAATTAAAGGAGAAATCGAAAGAAGAGTCTTGATAAAGCCCCCTTTTTCTCTTTAATAATCATTGCTTAAACAGAGAATGCCCATAAACAATAACATAAAGAAAACATTGGAGGTATCACTTTATCTCTATTCTGAATAACATTCGCTATTACTAGGGCACAAGAATGAAACATAAACACGCCAATAATCCACCACTTGTAGCTGGTCGACGGTGATATTACAGATGACGAACAGTCGACTGCTCAGAAGAAGTATGTGAGTTGCTTACAATGCAAGTTTGTGTTTAAAATTCAGGTCACTGCTACTTGGTATCATTTTGCGGAATCCGAGAGACCACCCATCAGTAGTGCAAGGTTTTGTAACGGTTTATTCTCGGGCTTCCTTTCTACCGATTCAGTAACATTTCACAAGCGATCATTGAAGCACATAGCATGACCACATTGGGAAGTGTCGACCACGCATCCCCCTTTCTACAAACAAGATAGTACTCTGATACTATGTGAAGTGTTCTAAGTGTCTAAGACCTTTTAGAATGTCACTGTCCGGTTAACGAAAATAAAAGAAACAAAACCTTTACTTAATGTCTATTCATGTTCAGACAGAGTGTTCGGAAGTTCACAAGCTAGTCGAGTTGGCGGTTTAACAATTCTGCCGGTAAAATTTCCACACAGCCCGATACTATTGTAAAACAAATCTGTTTTCCCAATGGCAATCTATTGTTTTCGTCATTGTTTTCTCTATCCAAGAACTGAATGCATAATGTAGTATGGGGCTGTGCGGAAGTTTTACCCTATTTTCTCTCAGGATTTCTCCTCAACTATGATTTAGTTGACGAAGGGCTAACGCTCGAAACGTCAGCTTTTTTACCCTTTAACACTAAATTACCTACTTTGATTTTAATTCTGCTGGTAGGTTCATTATAATTTTTATGTTACCAATCTTGTTTTTGTTTTGCCCGATTTTTTCCCGTAAGACTAAGAAATTTTAGGTAGAAAGTCATTTTGTGAAGCGTAAACATCTCGAAGGTACTTACTTAGTATGCGAACTCCGCTCTACGTAGCTTAACGTGATTCGCTAGTTAAGTGTAAAAGCATGACGAAGGTTAGATATTGACAGCTCAGTAAGCGTCACCTTTATAAGCGGTGACCCACACTTTCCTCGAGAGATCTGAGCTAGTCCCGAGGTAATAGGTTTTATGTAAGAAAGAGAAGAATAAAGAAAACTTCAACTGTATAAAGAGTGTTAGAAATAACATCTGACAACAATGTGCAATATTTGGAGACGCTGGGCAAATTAAAGGACGTGACGGGAAATGCAAGGTGTGTGCTTGACAAACTAAAGGGCGTAAAAGCAGATCTAGGCACGGATAATGCAGGGAAGCAAGATGCTAAATTCTGCGATCGCGAAAAAACATTTTGTGCAAACGAAACAACGCCATCACAAAGAGGGTGTGTCTACTATGACGCAACTGACCCCAGAGCTGTAAATTGTAACAAGTTTGTGACAGTCGGAGACCACAGGTAGCAACTAGGTCTGAAAAAAATTTGTTTTAAAGCACAGAAAGTCGACACCGCGCTGCTGAATGCAAATGCCGTTCTGGCTGCCAGATCTGCAGCCGAAGACATCTTACGTCGATCTGCGACAAACCTACATCGCGAGACCAGTTGATAACCACAACGAGCATAGAATAAAAAGGAGTGGTGTATCCCTTGGTCACAGTTGACGTGAATGGTGTATCCCATGGTCACAGTTGACGTGAATGGTGTATCCCATGGTCACAGTTGACGTGAATGGTGTTAAGTGTTGAGCATTGTTGGATACGGGAGCCGGAAGCTCCTACGCTTCATCAACGCTTCTGGACTGTTTACATTTGCGTCCTATCCGTCAACAATTCAAGCGCATTGAAATAATGTTTGGTACTTCAAACAAAGCGATAGACATCTATGGCCTACAAATTCGAAGTGTAGATAGCAAATTCATCTTAGAAGCCGAAGTACACGAAGTCGACCACAAAGAGTTGTCGACGTTGAAAAACCCAAAATGCACAGAAATCATGGCGCAGTTTTCTTATTTGAATAAGCTGGCAGATGTAATCAAATGTCTCCTTGGAAACACGGAAGTCATTTTTCCACGAAGCAGACAAGACTGGATTCTGATGCATCTCTTCAAACCAACCTTGTGGTCTGGGATATACCCACACCGCTCTTCTTCGCCGCGCGGAAGCTTGTCTTTGTCTTCTTATTCTTCTTGAGAGGAGAGCGGTGATTAAGTCGTGCCGTCTTCTCTTAAGTAGAAAATACATGTTCAGGACAATAAATCTGAATCTTTGAGCTTTCCGAATAGCAGTGATTACTAAAAGAAAAGCAACAATCTTAAGAGCCACGCGGTCTGAATCCGTGGCTCACTGCCGGCACAGAATGTTTTTTTTTTTCCAAACGAAAGTCTCGCAATTAAAAGCGGAATGTCTAATTTTATTTGTTTTTATCATCAAATTGCAGTTTGATTGACAAAATTGGACAAGAAGCCGTTTGCCAAATGTTTAAGTCAACAAGAACAGTTTACAATAGTTAACCTTTGTTTACTTTCTTTTATTATAGTAAAAGCCCTTAACTACAGAAAAATTCTAAGGGTGACCTCAGCCAATCGCTGTTCGCGGCTGGTGAACCTGTCAGACCAGATTTGGGCCATTTTTTTGGTTACATGTCAATAAGTCTTTATATTCTTTCTTGGATCATCTTCTCTTGTGGAACAGCCTTCAACACTACCATCTGGCGTCATTAAACAACTTCTAGTTCTTTTTAATGCTGTAAAATTGAGCCATATCTATCAGTAGCCACATGCAGTCTTAGACTGTATGTTTAACAATTCGGATCAGTAACCTTCAGTTATATTCCCATTTTCAGATTTTGAAACGCCATGATCTTGATACACTCTCAGTACTCAGAGAATGGGTTTGCTTTCTTGTTAAGTGTAGATAACTTTTATTCTAACTCTTGTTTTATTAACAATCAACTTGTACACAGCTTCATATGCAAATTAAATACTGCGAGAAACTAAACACCTTAAAGTGCTGCGCTAAATGCAAATCAAAATCTTTCTTAGAATGAGAGAGTCAAATTCTATATCAACATCTGTCGAAGTCTAAAATTCATAAACCTAAACTCGTTCAAAGTATCAAACTTCTAAACCACTTACTAAAAGCTAAAATCGAGTATTTTAAAAAGTATCTGCAAGCTGCTCTGATATACATTCATTACTCGCAGCTTGTCGTGTTAATTCAATTCCCTCTACATTTCGAGTTAAAAATTTTAAAGTATTTATATAGATCACATCTAGAAATTCTTACTAATGAATAAAAATAAGTAAAAACTCTAGCTTTAAATCTTATCATGTGTTACCAAGTCCTCCGCCACGCAAGTGTGTTTGGTTGCAATAATGAGCAATCTAGCTGCAGACCGCAACACGCTTGCGTTTAACCAGGCGAGATCGGGATGAAAATTTCATTACAGCGGGATGGTGGAAAGGAATGAAAAAAAGCAGCGGGATATGGGATTGGAAAAGTCTATTTTGGACCCTGCTCCTTAACTAAGACTAAACCAACTACGCACGCCCAGTGATGAAAGTTAAACAAGATAGTCACAACTTCGACACTCATCTCAATAGCTTAAACTTAATTTCGGACTTCAAATTCTAATATAATAACTATAGACTAAATATAAACGAATGACTAGATTATACAAAACTAACGTAATATTTAACAAGTATTCACATCACCTCTACTCGAGGCTATGGAACTGCTGGCAGTTTTCTTCTTCAGTCAAAGAAGTAAGCACATTCTCATTGTGGAGCCAAGAACACTGAGGACACAAACACTCACAGTGACAGCTAACGTGTACCAAGCGTTGGGGTGATAAGTGAAATAAAATATCAGGATCATAAAGAAGTTTTCTAATACAAACAAAATATGGGATAAAAACATAATCTTGGTTAGGCCAAATACGTTTACTGCATTCGAAAAATCAACAAAGTCATCTCTTAAGCAGTGAATCCCCATAAAAACTATAGTAAAGAAAACTTCTCTATCCTGAATAAACTTCGCCATTACTACCACACAAGAATGAAACATTACAACGCCAATAACCCACCACTTGTAGCTGACAGTGAAATAACAGATGGCGAACAGTCGACTGCTCAGGAGAAGTACGTGAGTTACATACAAAGCTATTTTGGTGTTTAACATTCAAGTCACTACTACTTGGTAATATTTTGCAAACGGGAAGAGACCACTTATCAGTGGCTGTGAAGGCCGATGCAAGAGTGAGGAAAGAGATCGGTAGAGAAATGATTTAGATAATTGCAGCTGGTTCCTCCTGAACACTGATGGCGTACAACTGAATAATAAATCGTGGAGCGGATTCCAGGACTGCCTCTAAGAGCACAGCGAAGTCAATGATAGAGTACATCTTAAGCTTCTGTAGAGCTGGATGGGTCGATTTCATCTTCTGACCACCATTTCTTGAGACAGAAAAAAAAAGCTTCTAGTCTTACAAAGCTACTGAAAATGGATGCAATGCACAAAGAGCAGTTTTTGCACAATTAGAAGGTGAAGGTTCCAATTTGGCACGTAACAGGTAAAACAATACTGGAAACGCCAAACATGGCAACTAAACAAAAGTAAGCCCCACACCGAACCATGTCTTGTGACCCGCGAGGTCGAATTCCGCCACTGTTATTATGTCGGTGATGGGATCAGCAAAACTTAAAATAGCTCCACCAAAGAACACGAAAGGACTGTACCACTCAAGATCTTCCACTTCCATATAGACGGACTTTACGTTTGGTCGCTTAGTAAGTCGGCTGGTATTGCACTGTTCGTAATCAGAGGCTTTT